AAATGGAATTAAGATAGAAAGAACCTTTGCAAATCTCTTTACACATTGATCTGAGAATGCAGCGAAGAGGTTGGGATGAGAAAGGGGATGAGAAGGGTCTTGACGGGTCACATTGCCAACAGATAGATGAAAAGTAAGTTGGATTGTATATGATAGAGAGGGGTGGGTGTGTGAGAGAGAGAAAGAGAGAGAGAGCGCTAAATGTTTTCAGGTGCTTTCCTTGGGTAAAAGATTAAAAAACGGCACTAGTATGCTTTCCATTTCCATACCTTTACTCTGGGTAATAAGTCTATGTACTCACCCACCATCTCAGTCTTGTGCTTTGTATTATCATACTCTGCTCCACACACCTCAACCTCTACAAATGGACAGACAATTCCCCTTCCATTTTTTGGAAGATGTCGTGCCCCAAGGACCTATGCAGAAGTAACAAAATCATACCATTACTTAACACAGTTTTCCCAAACCAGGCTTGTCTTCTATATACCACCAAAAAGGTTCCCTATCAGCACATGCTTTAAATGTAGAAGGTTCTGGATTCAATTTCCAGATAAGGCCAGAAAAAACTCATGCCTGGAACAGTGGAGAACTGCTGCAAGTCAGTGCCTACCATGAAGGGTGAGATGGGCCAAGGATCTGACCGGGAATAAAGCAGTTTGCCAGGCTGCAAGAAAACCCAAGCCCAGAGGAGATTTTGGAACCAAAAGTATCTCTAGGTCTCTGACTTCCACTTAAATGCAATGAATTATACGGTGAGTCCCTGAACAATTATTCTGGTGAGGTGCTGTGAATTTGCCATTACCCAAACATTTTGACAAATGCATGTAGTATAAAAGCAATATAGTCAGATTCAACAAGCCCTAGCTCTAATTCAGCTGAGCTGAATGGTCCCAGTCTTGCTGAAGTCAGTTAACACCTAACGCTACAGCCTTATGCACACTTTCCTCCGAGTGATCCCCTTGAATACAGTATTACACATGTTTAAGGTTGTGTGGTCTCACTGAAGGCCCTGGAACAACTCTGTTACAACCACCATCCCATGCCTTCAGCAGATCCTCTGACCCATTTCCCCAACCCCGTGAAAGATAGTCATGATTGAGTTCCAGTCAGCATGAACAACACTAGAAACAATTCAAAAGTTTTGCCTCTCATCAGCCTTCAATGTTCCGGATAAAAATAGCAGATGGGGTGGTGGTGATGGGGCACAGCAGGACGGAAGCAACAAACTACTCTGTCCTTTGCTACCATTTTGCTGTTCACCTAAGTTATGAGCCCAAAGTCATCGCTATGCTTTAAACACAGCAATTCCTCACTAAATATTGCACATAATTCAGGAAATGGAATTTATATGTAGAGGGAGCCACCTATGGGTGGTAGGAAATTGCTGCCAATTCCCCCCCCCCCCCAGAGTATTATTTTCCCATAGCGGTTCCGGTGAGTGTCTCCTCTCATTTAAAATTCTTGGGTGAGTGGCATATGCCAGTTAATTTCCCTCTCTAGAAGTTACATATTGCACTGATCCAAGAAGATCCAATTGCTATTCTAGGAGAGGCAAACTCACCATCACTAAACATAGGCTGAGTCAAGGTACCACTATAATCTTCTGTTTAAGCACATATGCAGGAAAAACCTGCAAGCTGAATGCCTTTAAAACCTGTACAGAATGGCTTTGATGCAACGTGATTGGAATGAGCCTAGGTGGACCTTGGAATTTCACTAGTCTCCTTTCCTTTAGGATAGCTATGAGGAAATTGACAGCATTTGCTTCTGTTTTTCCACTAACCATGGTCTTGTTGTTACATCCAACAAGAATAAGTCATGGTTAATTTAAAACTAGCCAGGATCAATAGCCATGGTTTCTCATTCTGGTGTATTTTAACAAATCTTGGTTTTAACTAGAGAGAATTCTTGGACTGGGTATAACAAGAAACTGCCATCAGTTTACATCAGAAAATGGATGTTTCAAATTTCCATCTTAGGTCCAGGCTCTGTGATGCACTGTTAAATCTATGGTTTAGCACTACAGTGAGACAATACAAGGCCAGAGACTTTGAGTGGCTTCTTTCAGTCTACCATACATCTTCCCTGCTTTTGGTAAAAAGTAAACCATTCGGACTTCGCATTGTACACATTCCACAGAAGAGACAGGGTTGTTTGTAGGTATACATATGCCACGTTCTTATATTATACCTTTCATGGTGTAATATTGCAATCATTTGATGGTACAGACCAGGCAGTTGTGGGGAAGAGAGACATAGCCATCTGTAACAAAGTTAAAATAAGGACACAGTAGGCACTCAAGAGAGTCCAAAGCACAAACCTCAATGGAGATGTAAAGGGGCTCCAGTCCATGTACAGTGTTCTTGTCAAAGGGGTCGAAGTGTTCATCCCGCATGCTGGGTGGCTGCAACATGAAGCCACATCGGCCTCCTGCCATAAAGAGGGCCTGATTCATTTGCATTGGCTTATCTGCAATATCACAGGGATTTTAATCAGGAACCCTTCCAGTGCAAGATTAACAGGCATATTCAGCACTATGTTTGAAATACCTTACCAAAATTTTGTGTCAACTGGCCAGTTCACAAAATGCTGAGCACAGTCCTCTGTGGGCTACAGCGTACTTGTTCAGAATGCAGAGATATTTAGTTGCATCACTAGGACACTTAGTAGTAGCACAGTAAATGGCCTGCTGCCACTGCGAATGCTCATCGCCACTGGAGGCAGGGGGCAAGCACATAGTGAAGCCATCTCTTGCTGCTTCCACACTCAACCTACATCATTCCCAGGCATATTTCTCACACGTTGCATGGAGTTAGCTCCAAGTGAGCATCCTACCTTCTCGTGCATGGACACACACCAGCATAGTGAAGCAGGCGGCAGAGCTTCTTTCAGCCAAAGGACAGAATTCCATTTTGGAGAAGCTTTGGAGCCGCATTCCACTGATAAGCAGTGCCCTTGACAAGAGGGAATGGGGCCAAAAATACCTGCGGATTTTAGCTTTACTGCCACTAAGCAAGCCTAAGGCAAGGCATTTCAACCTTTTAAAATGGGGGGGGGGGGCTGCACAAAAGTCAGCAAACCACCAAGTACTTTGTAGTTGTGGAAAAGAGGCAAGAACTAGAAGACAGAGGTATGGTCTTCGGGGAAGCTCTAGACAGTGAGATTTTGCCCCTAGGCTGGGGGCGGTGTTACAGGGACAACTGCTCTGCTGCCCCCAATTATGCATGTGTCAAGCTCTATTTGTTTCATGAGGAAAATGAAATAAACAGCTCTTTTTTCCCTTCCTAGATGCAGAAAGGATTCTAACTAAGACACAAATCTGAATTGTTAATTCGCACAAATATGGCTCCCTCACTATTGTAAACAAGCACAAAAAGCGCTGTTGCTGATAACAGTACAAGCAACTAAATATCATACCAAACAGAAGCAGTAATATTTTTCCTATAGTACAGACATGCCATAAGCTACAGTCAGCACAGAGAGCTCCTTTTATATTCATACAACAGCTCAGAGGAAGGAGGCTCTCACCTGGTGTTTGGAAGTTTAGCGCCACCAACTGGCTGCCACAGATCCACATAGGCAGGGGATCATAGTTGGAAGAGTCCAGTCGCTGTCCCTTTGGATAGATGCGGGAAAGCTGCAACCGGTTGTACTGCAGGAATTTCTTGCCCTTGATCTTGTTGACATACTTCTCTGCCTTGGTTTCAGGGAAAGAGGACATGTCTCTGTAGCAGGCCCTGTCTGTGCCAATTTCTGTAGAGGACATGAGGCAGAGAGTGACATGGGTCAAGCTTTGGTCAGGATGCCGTCACCACAATATGGGCCAGGAGAAGAGAGAAGGTGTTGCTTGTGCAAAGCAGATATTCTGATCTTCAGAGATTTGTAGAGATTAGTCAGCCTAATACCAATGTATTAAAATCAATTGTGTTTATATCTTCAACAAATTTGTACACACAGATTAGCCCAAATAAGGGCCAAAACTTTGTGGGGCAAAACCACACCCCTTGCTATCCCAATATGGGTAAGTTTATCTTCAAATTTGTGTTCTGAATGTGCAAAGTCTTGAAAAGAGCTCCAGTACATGGGGACATAAAGGGGCAGGGAGGGACTTGTGGGTGTGCTCCTGTCCTTCCAGTTGTAGCCCACTTAAACAGGGCTAACATGAGCTCAATAAGAGTCAATGATTTACTTTTGGATGATTTTCTTAGAACATGGTGAACATCAACCAAGACTTGTTTGATCCAATAAAAATAACAGTTCTGAATACACAAAATCCATCAGTTCTGTCAATGCATGACCATGTCATGGCACTGCACTGATTATTCTCCTCCCCTCTCATGTGCACCAGCCAAACCACGGTTGCTGAATATGTGGTCAGTGCATTGGTGGAACATGGCTTGAGGAGGCGCAACCTGGCAACCAGCTCATAGAGTATATGACTATTTGAGAAGATTTGAAAGAAGCAATGGGAGAAATAGCCTTTAGAATCCACCCTCAATTTTCTTTCATCATTTTTATTTTGGACAGCTAAGCTGCTGCTAAGTTACACTAGAGTCATGATTATATTCTCAGGTAAGCTGAATTTATATTAACTTTGCAAATCAGACTTTAAACAAATATTTAAACAAAAATTTAAAAGGACCAATGAATCTCAGTTGGGCAGCCACTTTTGTGGTGTTGCTCCATGGTTACCAAATAATGTTAAAAGGCTTATGAGTGAGAGCTTTAGCAATCACCCCTGACATTTGGATAGGGAGACTGACTTCCACATCACAAGGCTGCACTGTTGCCAGATGTTGAATAATCACTTCTAGGTATGCAAAGTGTTAGACAAAGTTAATACTATATGCTTAATGGAATCGACACTTACTCTCTTCATCAAAAGGAACAGGACGGCAGTAGATGACTAGCTCAGAAAGCTCTAGTGCTATCTTCTTTCTTCGCTCCATCATCTTTCCTTCAGAAAGCTAGCAAAGAATCAAAAAACACTGCAGCATTCATGATATGGGTGGAAGTGCTGGCACAGATACTAATGTGATTATAACATCCATCTTCAGTTATTGGAAATGAGGATTAGCAAGACTTTGGAACTTCAGTATGGCTTGCAAAGTACATAGAAATCCTTTTCCATTTTCCTATAACGGGAGGTATTTAAGGAACCCAGAAATATGTTTTACTCAATCTTGTAAAAGTATATAGAACCTTTGGTTAACAGAGTGGGAAGCTAACTATTGCCAGGAACAGTAAGTATGATCAGGGGAATTTTGCATTTCTTGTCCATTATTATTCTTGCATTCTTATAACACTTGGACTTCGTCTGCTAAATTCTGCCTGATCATCACAGCAAATTTTCAAACTCTTCTACTGTAGGTGTTCTAGTGGAAAAGTGGGTCAGGGGAGAATGCATAGGGTATGTATGCATCAATGTATGTATGCACTTAGATATACATGAATGTATGCATGCATGTCTGTATGTACACAGGTGTGTACACAAATGAAAAATATTTGGATTTTGCCCTGGGAGCAGGAAAAGTTCTTTCCAGTGTTCAAATTTTACTTTTAACTGAAAAGGGGGGGAAAAGGAAGACATTCCACCCCACCACCCCCTTTCCAGCTTGCAAAAAGCATTCCAACATTTTGGTGATATATTGGATAAAGCAGAATCTTCATACATGGGATAGAATTTGGTAGAGGTAAACTTGACGAGGCGAACCTGCATCTGGAACTTTCCCATTAGGACTTCCAACTTTCCACATCTGGGCATAGCTTCAACAGAGGCGGTGAAGGGGTGGATTAAGCATCCCTGTGCCTGCCACTTCTCTGCCTGCTGTTGCTTTAGTGCAAGGAAGGGGAAGCCAGCATTCCTACTGCCTGTCTGCCCCGCACATAGCTCAGCCCTTTGCTTGTACACTGCCAACCAGCAACTGCCCTGGGGGTGGCTTACAACCATAAGAGACCAAACCTCCCCATAAAATAACCAATTGAAATGAAAATACAAAAACATTTTCAAAGTAACACACTATTAAATGTTTAAAGTATCAATAACATTAAGGACACCATGGTACAGTTAATAAACAGGGCTAGGGTTTAAAGATGCAGTGCTTGTAAGAAAAAGGTCTTAGCCTGTGTACCAAGACACTGAGCAGACCTCCCTGGGAAGGGCATTCCACAGATATGGGGTCACTACAGAGAGAGCTCTTCCTCTGCATCCACAGTGGCTTCTGCCTGCACAGTTTTAGATGTTTCAGGAGAGACCGCACATCTTACCCGGGCATCAGCAGTCTGGGCTGTCTCACGGATCTTCTTCACCCAGTCCAACAGATCTTCATGTGTATCAGCAGCCACATCCAGGGACCATTGAGAGACTGAAGCCATACTGATAGAGAATACAAACATGCGGTTGTTTTTCCCCTCAGGGCGGATGGCTGTGGGGAATATGACCAGGGTAAATCAGGATTAGGTCACGCAGACATGGACCACTGCCTTTCTCCAGATCCTCACAGCCATAAACTTGATCAAGAGAAGGGATATGTTAAACAGAGGCCAGCACTGCAGCCCAAAACTTCTCCACAGCATGCAGGTAGCACAGGTAATACTAATTATAAGGGAGTAAAAAGAGATGCAGAAGATTGGAAAGGGACAGAAACTGAGGCCTGGTATCTAGCTGTCCATATCAAAGTGGAGTGGATTCTCCCACAATATTTGCTCTTATGAGCAGCTCCAGGGACCTTCGACCTTTCTAGACTGAGTCTACTTTTAATTCCCTTCTGCAACTTGGGCCCATTTTAAATTTTATATTTAATTTTCTTCACTCTTTCTACTGTGTTTCCCTAACTCTATACTTCTCCCTGTCTCTGTTTTTCTCCTTCCCTTCCTGACTCTCCCTCCACACAAAATAGTTAGGAAATTACATAGGCAGCTGTCTTATACAGGGTCAGACTATCTGCTCCCCTTTCCGGGTACTGCCTGATCTGACTGACACCTCAGATCTCCAGTGTCTTGGGCCAAGGTCTTTCCCATCACCTACTTCCTGCACTTTACTCAATTACTGAATATACGTGTGGCCCGCCTTTCCTCAATAAGCCCAACAGCTAACAACACAAGTTAAAAGAAAAAAAATAAACCATATGACAAATACAATAAGCATAATGCAGCAATCATAAAACACTAACATAGAAGATGAGCTAAGAAATGCAAACAACCATCAAAAATAATTTAACTACAGTAATAAAATCTACTTCCAAAAAGGAAACAACCTTTCAGGGCTCAGAACTCTAGTAACAACGAAATTGTAAATTGACCAAGAAAAGGTGTTCTGAAGAGTAAGCAGTTGCTGCAATCATACTTAGTTGTATCTTCCTGTCTTCTTCATCCACTTACCAATCTGACAAGATGGTACATCCAGGACCCCTCTAAGCATGTCTCCCAGGGGACTGTTTTCATCTAGCTGCTCCTGGAAGGAAAAGTTCACACGAGATTACTACATTTCTGTACATGTTATAGTTTGCCTGCTCTGAGAGCTTCAGGACAGGCAATAGGACTCACTCATAGGAATGCACGGTTTTCAAACAGCAAAACATTACAAAACCGCTGAAAATGCCTATCTTTGCCTTAGCTGTTGTTCCATTTCCACCCAGCAATTCTTCCACAGCCCTGCTTACATTGCCAATGTTATTCCGACTTAGAGTAGACTGAATGCAATGCACAGGACTTATGTTAGAGTAATACTGGATACAACTCTTCAACTATTCTCAGACAAACCTTTCTTTTGTCCATGCATACCATCTAACAACTGTAGAAGCGTTCAGTCATCACCACCATGACATCTGGTACTTCTATTGACTTATTTTGTTTGTTCAAGACAGAGATCACCACATTAAAATGCTCAATGCAGTAAAAGCAGTCACCAAAAACAAAACAGCAGCAGCAGATGAAACACTTTTTAAAAATGAATTGAACTAACACGTTAGGGAGAGTGGAACTATAACAACTTGACAAGACAAAATGCCCACCAAAAGGGAAGGGTCTAAACAAAATGGAAGAAGGCTATCAGGGCAGGTTAAGGTAGACTTTCTAGACAGGGAGTCCCATAGCCTTGACTTGTCTGCAGAGTACTGTTCCCACATCCGAGCGGAATGCAAGTCAGGAGAGTCAGGTTGGTGGACAGTCAGGACAGCCTGAACAGGTTCTAATGGATGGGCAAGTTCATATGGGAGACTGCCCACATGGCTATTCGGAAAGCCTCATTTCGAGTCAAAGATCAGCTTGAAGCTCTCTGCAAAATCTGAATGCAGAGCCTTCTTCAGAAGAGACTTTGCAGCTCTCCCATTTATGTTCAGCCAAAATGAATGCTTACCTCCCTCTCAGGCTCCAGGCCAGTTGGACCAATGATTTCTTCCACATAATTAGCTGGAAACCATAGCTGCTTCTTACCCCCATAGTCTCCTCTCCACCTGGGAGAAAAAAAAAGATGCACATGCAAAACCATAATATGGGTTTTGAACAGGCAATGGAAACCATCAAGTAGCGTATTGCAGATATTGAAAGACAAAGCAATCTCAATAGAGTCCCTGAATTCTATCTTAGGGAGGACTACAGACATATTGTAATAGCTGCACCATATTTCAAACAGTTGGACTTCCATAAACTACCTAGTCGAACAAGGACAACGTCTGGGATTGTCAGCAATTTACAATGCCTGATATTGTGTTGAAACATTTGTTAATCTGAGTGGGGTTTTAATATCGATGTTTTATGTTATTTATTTTTTTAATCTATGTATTTATTGAACGGAGATGGTCTTTGACCGAAATAAAGTTTATCCATCTACATGCAAAACCACATATACTCAACATACAAACAATATCCTGATCTGAGAAAACCCAAATCTGCTATTCAGGATATTAACAGGGGGCATTAAGCAGACCAGCAGAGCTTACTAACTGTGCAACATGCAGAGGGCTCATCCAGAGCAGAGTGGGGAGAAGGTCTCCTGGCCCAGTTACAAGGAATGGAAAAAGGTGAACAAGCCTCTGCTGTCATCCACAGGGAAAATATCACCAGGTCTTGAAAATATTACCCTTTACCTAAGCGTTCTGACAAAAGTCCTCCTGATTATGGGCTGAACCTAATGCTAGGAGGCCCTGAGTCTAAACATGTTTTTCTTTACACAGTGAATAACATTTAAAATTTGCTGGCAGAAGATGTAGTAGCAGCCACGAATGCAGAAGGTTTTAAAAGGGGATTAGAAAATCTGGTGGAAGGTAAGGCTGTCAGAAGCTGATGGATATTACTGAAATATTGCCTACAGGATCAGAGACAGGATAATAGTTGCCAGGGAATGTGACTGGGAGGGTGCTATTGCTCTCATGTCCTAATCGCATGATGTTCTTATGTGCTTAGAAACCCGTGTCATTCCCAATCAGCTACAGAGCAGGATGGGACAAGCATGATTTGGAGGAGAGACGCAGTAGGTGCAAAAGGGAGATGTAAAGGAAAAATGGCAGGTGGGGAAAAGGTGATAGTCGATCACTTCTTTCCTTTGAATTTCTTCCTGTGCTGGCTACTGTTCAGCCATTTCGCAATATCCCAGGTTTGCAGACCAAAGTCTGAAACTGCATATACAAGTTCAGCTCTAAATGTGAGGCACAGATCCAGGTTAACATTTTGCATGTTTAAATTGCACAATGGGGGAAAGCGCCTTTGAAAGCTAATCTCAGAACAGAGGAAGTTAGCGAATGATTTGGACTGCTTGAAGATTGTGATCTCAGGAATGTCTTTAGAAGGAACCGAACACCTGAAGAGCAAAGGATACTCACCAGCCTCCTTCTTGTTTTTCGACATTCTGGATGACAGCATTTTTTGTAAATGTGAGCTCATCCTCCCGTTGAGCCTTGTAATCAAACAAAGCCTTTACAGCACACTAAAATAACACAGAAGAACAAGGCTGAGTGATCACTGCAGAAACTGGGGTATTAGGGTGGCCATGAAAGAACATGAGGCGTTATTTTCAAGGAACTGTGCAATTATCTGCTTACGATTATCACATCCCTTGCAGTCAATGCTGAGGCTGACTCAAAAGCTGATGGACCAGACCTGGTGTTGAAATTCTCAGTCATGGCACATAAAGTATGACTCATTACATGTGTGGAAGAATAATTGAGCAGTACTACACCTGTATTACAAAATCCTACTTCCTGTCTCAAATATTGAAGGCCATTTCTCACAAACAAAAAGAGGGGTGGGAGAAACAAACCAAGCAAAGTATGCACCAGAGACGTTACAGGTTCCAGAAGAATTCCAGTTTCCTCCCGCCTCTGCCATTCCAAGACCGGCCTTACCACTGTGTGCTTTCTGCTACCCATTCCAGAATGCCTAATGGTTTAGTGCCACCATATTTGCTCACACAAGGCCAAACTATGGAAACACATAAATAGGTCTCACCCTTCCTGAAACATCTACAAAAAGCAGCGATGGGAAAGTTCTATCCAGCTAAGGACGGGAGGACAGGAAGACAGGAGTTTAAGCCTCTCTACTCCCTGCTGTACTTTCCCTAATGAAAATCCTCCTCCTGCAAAATTGCTATCTCCCTGATAATGAGGACATAATAAATATGTAGTAACAGATAAATTCAGGCATCCAGTTGTTTCTCTATGCTTTCCAATCACAACAGGTGGCTTCACAAGACTGGCTGGCAAGACTAATTTATTTTTACATATGTATACATATTTATTTTTATGTTTTATATTTATCTCGTCTTATTTTCTGCCAAGGAACCCAAGACAGCTTTTATAGTCCTCTTCCTATCCTATTATCCTCAGTGCAATGATCTTCTGAATTTGTAATGACCTTTTGACTGAGCAATACATGTGTTACTTACATTTTATCCTCACAACAAGTTTAGGAGTTTGATCAAGCAGGGAGTCAGTGACTGGCCCAAAGTGGGCTTCAGGGCTGAATGGGAACTAGAACCCAAAGTCCCAGCACAATATTCCAACCACTATAGCACACTGGCTCGTTTTGGCCACCAACTGGCCTCAGCCCGCTCATTCTTGTAATACACTCCCACCCCTCTCCAAGAATGGTTTGGTATGGCATAGTATGCTATGTTACTAGTGAAATACCTTGAAGGTAGGCATTGGATTGGTCACAACATAAAATCCTGGATTTTGTCCTTCAGAGAGGGCACCATAATCTGGCTCCTGATGAAGAAAGGAAAAAGGGTGAGTTTGGCAGTATGTCTCCCCCTGTTAGCTGTTTGGACAAGCATAACAGAAGACAATACCAGCTGTGGCCTCTTGTAAAGCTATGTGACATCTTGAAAAGCTGGCAGAGTAAACTGATGAGCTAAAAAGGGCTACGGAAGGAGTGAAGCCGTATGTGTTTCAGTGCAGAGACAAAAGTGGCACAGTGATAGGTCCACGCTTGGTTAGAAACACAGGTATTTGTAGCTGGGCACCCCTAGGGAGCATCTAATTATGGAAATCATTTTGACAGAGTTAAGTTATAGAGCAGGGTAGACAGAGGCTAGAACTGGATCTACCAGCAGATCCTTGGCTGATTAGATTTCTGATCCTTAGTTATTTAACAACTGTAGCAACAGAAACTGTATTTTTCTCTTCCCTCCACCCAAAGCCCAAATTATATTGCTGAAATGAAGAATGCAGTACAAGCAATGAAAGAAAGAACTACACTCTTGGAGCAACCAGGAGTGGATTTACGTGTGGAAGCACCATCAGTCCTGTTCAAGTGATGGTGCTCAACAATTCCTGTGCTCAGAGTTCTTTAATCCTGAATATGCCATTTTATATCAGGCTTCAGTTGGTGGACCTCAAAGGTCTAGTTAGAGAAAGTAGAACCTGCAAGCTTGACGTTAGCCCTCACTCCCCCGCTCTGGGAAAACAAGATCAGTCCCAGCCCCAGGTCAGGAAGAAGGCACTGGGCTCCACACAGTCCATGCCTAATGCCACACTCACCGCCGTCCCAAACTTCTCTAGGGTTTCCTCATTAATCGAATACCTCAGCTTCATCTTGCGGTACAGTGGGTGCTTCTCATAGTAACTGACTAAGTCCACCAGGCTGTCAAATTCTGAGTTATCCAAGAAGACAGTCTGGTTGTCCTGCAGAACCCGGCAGTGCTTGATCTGCCCTTCTGCCCTGGGGGAAAACATACAAGCAGAACTCTGACCAGAGAAACCACAACACTTCCCAAACAACAGTGCAGTAAAGGACAGAGAGTGTTGCCTGTAGGTGACAGCGGTGGTGCTGAGAACTGACTTTCCCCTCCATAGCAATGAGGCTGGTGCACACGCAAAACCCAGCCCATAGTGCCTTGGAGAGGAACCACTCACCGAAAGGAGATTGCATAGGAGTTTGGCTCACTGCTCTTGCGCACAAGGAAGGCTCCGTCCCTTGGCACCCTCATCAGCATCCGCTCTGCCATGGATCGGGTGAGATTGGCATGGTACCAGCTGGAGGTGAAAATAGCACAGTGTAAGCAAATAGCTAGACAGCAATAACTGATGCATGTTTAGGTCCCAGGATTAAATTTCATAGAACAAAAAGGAAAGAATGCAATGGGCTGTGTTGCTTTCTCTGTAGATTTATAGGGTTTCATCACAGAAACTGGCTAATGCAGCATTATTAGCCAAGTATTTTATTTTACTGGGTCAGTAAAAGCTCCCATGATTAAGTTATAAGAAGCAGGGCACAGACACTCCCTTGACCTCTACAGTTCCATTCCTCTCCTTGGCAGAGACAAAAATGGCAATGTTCCATTTTCACCTGCATTAGCCATAGGCTATGCTAATGAAGAATCTAAGCTGCTATGCAAGTATTGCCAAACATAGCAAGGTTTGGTCAGTAAAGATATAGGCAAGTTGTCTCCTAGGGGCTTTATAGTACAGTAGGATATTGAAGACATAATCCTCAACAATGGGTAAAAGTAGGGAGAATGAACAAACTATTTGAGGGGAAATACCTTGTTCTTCAATTCTGAATTGTGCTGATGAAGCAAGAGAGCTATATCCAAACCAGGCTTAGGAGAGGCAGTTCTGTAATTTAAATTCTGCACATTCCTCTCTTGCACTTCATGAATATAGCTTGGTGAGAAAAATCAACAAGGTGAACTCTTCTTGGCAAGCTGTTCTTACTCAATATTGCAGGAACCTGTTCAAAACCATTTCAGTTTTCTATTCTGACATCAGGATCCAGAATGCTCTAGCCAATCCAGCCCCCAGAGTGCTAAATTTGAAGCTACACTGCTCTGAACTGATCCCAGTGCTCATGCTTCATAGGCACTCATGCCACTGCAATTGCCATACACAGGAAGGCAGCAAGCACTCCTTTCCTCCCATCACTTACTCCTTGCTCTCGTGAGCATTGGTCTGTGGCACTGGCTCAGTCAGTCTCATCTCAAATTCGTTGCACCTGAGCGGAACTTGCTGATAATGGGTGATGAGGTCATAGAGGCTGTTGAACACCAGGTTGTCTGTGAGGAAGAATTTGGGGCTGCCAGCATCCTGCCGGGAATGGATCCTGCAGTGCTGCACTTTCCCATTGCGCCTGCATGCAAGCAGAAAGAAGATATGACCACAATCCTATGCACATTTGTTCTGAAGTAAAATCCTGCTGGATTCAATGGAGTTTACAACCTAGTGAATGTTTTTAAGATTGTGAGCTAAATTTGCTTTTCTGAAATGCCTAGGTTAAGCTTGCCAGACAGTGACAGATACGATACATGAATATATGAGGGAGAGTCATGTCATGAGTCTTATTCAGTAACACAACCCAACAGGATAGCTTCCAGTGGGCTATCTGGCAGCTCCTGAGATGGCTATGGGGAAAGAACAACAGATGGAAAGCCAAATGGGGAAAAGCAGCAGCACACAGGGGTGAACTGAAGCCTGCTTGTGGATAAGTACATTAGGATGCAATCCTCTCCATGTTAGGCAGAAAAGAAGTCATACAACCCCCAGCATAAGTAGAGATACACTAAAACATAATATTAAAATTCTATGATAGAAAATATAAAACAATGTAAACAGCTATAACAATTTCAATAACTAAAAGAACGGACATGTCTCATCATATGCTATGAACTGCCTGGCATATATTTGCTGACTATTAACCTAGCGCCCTAGGTGACTATTTGCCTCCCAAAAGGGGACAAATCTTATAACTACTGCAGAAAATGCTGAATCAATTATGTAATGAACACAAACTCTTTGAGTCTCCTAGAAGCACTAGGGATCGTGCAAATGGTCCCTACCTAGGAAATGAGGCATTTCCGTTACAGAAGTAGCTCCAGAGCTGCTGGAGTGATCGATACTGAGCCCGAGAAAGCCTTACCAGAAGGAAAGGGTGTAATCACCCACAAAGGTCTCACTCTCCCGCACCAGGAAAGAGCCATCGGGAGCCCCCGTCTCAATGCAGTACTCAGACAGCAGCCGTTCAGCAATTTGGCGCCCATCACGCCCTGCTCCCAGCTTGCCGTGGAACCACTTTTCAGTGGAGTGCAGTTCAGCACTGTTGCTTGCCTAGCAAAGGAAGGAAAAGGAAGACTTAGTAGCTTAGTTTCTTGTATACAGGACCAGCTCGGTATGAAGGAAGAGCCACCATCATGGCAATGCTTCAGCGTTCCTCTTCCTTTTCCTGTAGTAAAAACAGATTGCAGGGGTTCAAACCCACGAGTCAGCTTCGTAGGAGAAAAGCATTTCCAGGAGCCTCTCAAAATCTCCTCCATACACTCTTATACCTCACCAGGAATGGACATATTGAGAGAAGCTGAAGGACCCAAGACTTGTGGCTCCTGCTTCCAAGAGGCAATGCCAGCATATCAAAAAACCAGTGTGTGTACATTACTGCACAACCAACTTCAGAAAGCCATGTAAGGCAGCTTCATATGCTTATAACCGATTCTGGCTGCCTCTGAGTGCTAAGTACCACAGATCTTTTCCTCCCATCTTCAAAGGTAGTTCCTCTCATCTTCATGGTTCATGATCCATGGTTCTTCCTGTTTGCTCTTTCCTTGCTGCAAGGGAAAGATTTCTTTTTGCTGCAAGTAGAAAGTCGGAGCATGGTGTTGTCTTAACTCCAGTCCCAATCTGACCTTAACTCTGGCTTTTAGCACTAGGAAAGACAGATCTTGAATACTGCTCATTCCCTTGAGTGGGAGCTTAGTTACAATGCAGGTCTCTTCTTTTAGGAATGAGATTCAGCTTGGACAGAACTAGATACACCTCTTTAAAAAGCACTGAAATCTCCTCTCTTCTGATTCAGGAAAGAGCAGTTCATTCCAGGCTGACACAGCTCAAGTACAAGAGCACGAGGCACGCAAAAGATTAATCCCAGGCATCTCTGCATAGGACTGGGAGACTCCACAGCTGGAAAGCCTGGAGAGCTACTCCAGTGACTGCAGACCAAAGTTCCCATGTGGAGGATCACTCAGCCAGAGCACAGAAATTGGCTTCTCCCTGTGCCAGCCAAGATGGCTGCCTCCTTCATGTACCAGGTACCATCCCATGGATTGCAGACAGAATTGAGCTAGATGAACCCTATGACTGGGTTCACAGAACATAAGCCATGGTGGTTTAGAAGCCAGAGATGGCTTCTTGCACTGTCTGGATACAGCCAGAGTTGGGTTCAGGCAAGATGACAAGCCACCTCTAGCTTATAAACCACCATGGTTTATCATGTTGTGTGAACCCAGTCACTGTAGGGCCACTTCTTATGTTTCTATGTTCCAATGAGTCAAAGAACTGAAGACATTCTGTATTACAGAAAAATGCATGGTTGTCTCACATACCTCCTTTTGCTCCTCCTCATCTTCATTTCCCAAATCACTGGTTCTTTCCCCAGAGTAATAGATTTTGGTGCTGGTCAAGACAAAGTAATGTGGGTTCCAGTCCTGCAGGGATACATGTAGCAAACCTGCTTATTCAAGAACAATGCTCCTATGAAAAAGCATCCTATGACCCCAGCCTTTCGCCTCAGTGCCAGAACTACCCCCAGTCAGAATCTCTTACCCTTCAAATATTCCCCAAATTCCACCTTTTCCAGTAAGCCCATGACACAACTGTCTAGTCCAGGATTAAGCCACTTTGGAGGAAAAAGTGTCCAGGGACTGCCTATATCTTCTGTACCTCCTCTCATGGGACAGGCCACAAAAGGAAGAAAAATGTTGACCAGCTGCTGAAATTCAAGGGCAAACCAGTACAGAAGGCTACCTGATCAACTGAGTGTTCTCATGTGAAATCTGAGCCTTCTGGGCCCTACAGTGATTCACATCTCCTGTTGTTGCATTCAGCAGCACAAGGGACATGTGGGGGAGGTTGGGAGAGGAATAAAAGGGACCACATGCAGCCCACAGGCCACGTGTTTCCCACACCTGCCTTAGCTGATTGGCCCCACCGTTATAAACAATGTCCTCAAACCAGCGGCATCATCATAAACTGTTTCCCTGTTTATCCTTCCTCTGGTACTTCCTGTGTGTCAAGGTTTAGATTGTTTGGCCCCTCAGAGCAAGGGTTGGTCCCCTGGTACTCTTTAGAGTGCCATGTACTAGAGAGAACATAAAGAGTTTATGTAAACCTGTGTGCACACACATACAGACACACTGAGCAAAAAAGCCACTCAGCTTTGTCATACTGTTGGATCTTCTCCCCTTGAAAAATTACTATAGTTTCACTAATTCTATTCCGGCATTCTACAATCTTGTTGTTGTTTTGGTTACCCAATGTATCTTCCCTCTAATCAATGCCCAGAGAATGTCCTTTAGAGACATTTTCATCTTGGCTGGGGAGCTGACGTGTTGGGGTGGTCAACCCATCCCTGCCCTTGTGTATGCATTCTAATCCAAGACGGTGTTATGGCCAGGTCTGAAATGCCTGCAGCACATAAATGAAATGCGCAGAATGGCAGAGAATATACAGAAGGGAAGAGTCTTTCTCTGACGGCTTTGCAGGCATCAGATGCTTGATGGGCCACTAAATATCAATAACAAAACAGTGATTTATGGCATCCCTGTCCAGTCAGGTTAATTGATTTTGGTTCATACAGACCAACTAAATCTAAGAAACTTGCAGAAGAGTCAGAAGGAGTGGTGCGAAGAAACCCACGTGACTGATAGGGTCTTCCAGGTAGAGGATCCCATTCTTGATTGAGTTACTGATATCATTCTCTGAATACACAGCAGATGATGGCACTTCTTCGTAAGCACTGCCCTCGGCCAGTTTCTTGTGCTGCAATGAGAAATATGCATATCAGTTTTTCTGAAAAAGAGCCCAGAAGGACTAGGCTAGTGTTATCCATTCACCTCATTTCTGATATCTCTGTATAGAAGCCACAAGGAATTTCATGGCAACAGTGCATAAGAAACGCAGCCCTGCATAGAACATGTTTTGTTTTATGCAGGTCATTGCTGATAGATTAATTTATGTTTGACATCACTCATGATTTTATGTTGCATTGTTTGTTGCTGATATTGTAGTGATAAAATAACAGAAATAAAATAAAGGCTACCAAGCACAATGGACATTGTGCTCTAAGCCATTGCTTGGAATGCCTCAAGCATCTCAAATATTGATTTTTCATCTCTTTTGCAATGTGATAAATGTGATCTGATATTCTTGGTATGCTTTCCCCACCCACACGTGTATATCCTTTCTTAATTCCACTTAGAACGGATGTGTGTTGCACTGGTGGGAGTGTATATGGGAATTTGGGGTCATTGTGCAGCCGCACTATTTTGGCAGGATTCCTATCACCACCACCACCACCACCACCACCACATTATATCCTTCCTTTCTCCCCTCTTGTGACAAATCCAAGCTGGCTTACATAGTTCTCTGCTACTCCATGTTTAATCTCCTACCATCTGCCCTGTTGAAGCAGGTTAGGCTAAAAGTCTGTGACTGGCTCAAAATCATGCAGTGAGTGCCATGGCTGAGTGGGGAATGGAACCCAGATCTTCCTGGTCCTTAGTCCAACACGCTTATCCACCACACCACAGTGGCTCATCGGTCCAACTAATTGGAGGCAACTTGCAGGAAGATAGTAGGGGTGGAAGCTGCAGTGTCAAAGAAACTTGCATAGCTGATGGGGTCCCACTGACTCCAGTCCCCAGTTTAAGTTCCAGATACCATCCAACAAAAGGACCTTGCCTTTATAAGGATCTTCCTCTTCAGCTGGTTTGGTGATGGCAGCCCATCAGCAGAGACATCTACTGGTTTGGTCAGCAACATGTCTCCAAAAACCTTCTTAAAATTCTGAGCCATATTCCGCTGTTGGGCAATGCTGCAGTGATCTTCGATGGACAAGATCACAGGATAGCTGAGAGACAAAAACACGCAGGCTGATTAGGAGGAGCATGTTAGGTTTCAACTCTGCTGAAAGCAAGTTCTGCGCTTAGCACAGCTCTTCAATTCCTCTTGCCCAACTTTCCCTCCAGATCAGCTCTTTGGGTACCAAACAACTCCTGCAAGTCTCCTTCAGCTTCTAAAATTCTACCAGCTTCCATGTAGGAAGCTCTTATTTCTACACAGAAACAGGATTCTCAGAAAGCTCAGCTATTGGAATCACCTGACCTCTGCTCAGATGGGCAAAATGTGTGAGGAGGAGGGATGCTTCAGAATTTCGGGAACAGCATTTAGCTTCTTGAGAATCTAAGCTTTAATAAAAGTGGGCAGGGGGAACAAGAAAAAAGATATAAACTCCCAGTCCTCATAATGGTGGTGATGAGGGGGTATCTGAAAGGTCCTGGCTTTGCTTGCAGAAATTCTGAAGCCTGAATTCATGCCAAAGGAATTGCACATTAAAAATTCCATCAGCGAGATTAGAAATGAAGGCCATATGATATAGTACAAAAGGTATCATTTATGCAATTTCAGGTGAATTATAAAGATTTGCTCAATGTGCAGCATTTACACTGGTCAAAGAAACCTGCTTTACTTGGTGCAGAATAAAAACATATATTTCATAGCACACACTACAAAATTGCCCCATATACAATTTATGCACCAAATGCACATTGAATAATGAACTATTTTTATCTGCATTTTAAGATATGTTACAACACGGAAGTCAAGGGTGGGTATACTGACTACTACTACACCAGTGAAACATTTGAGCAACATTTTGACGGTGGTTCATGTACATACATTCCTGCACTGCATTTCTACAAGCAGGAGCAAATATTTAAGGTCAGGAATCTGACCTACCATTAGGCAAATTTCCTGAAGACTGGGATGTCACGTTTCTGTTTTACTTACTCTGAGGTCACAAAAGCGTGCTCCTTGATAGTGGCTAGGACATCCGAAAATTTGATTTTGGTAGTTAATGTGTGTCCATGATAAATCACGGGCATCCCATCAGGGCCATCCCAGCAGTCAACTGAAAAGGAAGTAGACCCAGAAAAACACAACTAAGCCACAATCCATTGGTTCATGTAAAAGACAGCCACAAGGAGGCAGGAATCACTCTAAAAGAAATCTTGAATAAGGAGTGTTTGCCCCAATGGCCTTGCTGGCTGGGAATGATGGAAACTGTAGTCCAATGCCTCTGGAGAGAGCCTGCTGCAGAGGAATGCATGGGGAACGTCTGACAGCCACTAGCCTGGCTGAAACATTCTAGTGAACAAGATCACTTCCTTGCCCCTCCTGATGCCAGTGGTGTTACAAGGTGCATTTCAGGGTCGTAGCAAGAACGCACTGATAAAGCTATTAGCACAATGGCATGGAAGGAGTATCTTTCATGCTATGTTTACAAGCTAAAGGAAATGCATGGGGGGTGGAGTCCTGGCTTCTTCCAAAGGTCGCTAACACAGGGGATTCTGAGCTGGGCCTGCGTTCCGACATGTGGAACACAGGACGCTGCCTTCCTCCAGGTCCATCTAGCCCTGCACTGACTACTGTGAGTGGCAGATGCTCAACAAGGTCCTAGGCGGCAGCAGGGAGAGGGAGAACACCAGCACTCACGCTCGATACAGCGACATCCCAGGCGCAGGCAACGAGCATAGGCTTCCAGCGAGGACTCACTTGAGAACTGGTCTCCTGTCAGGTACCTACCATGAAGGGAAAACCAGCCATACTTCGTAAGTTCAACAGGGATTTGCTGCCAATATCACAGCAACTCACAAAGGATCACAGTGACACTTCAGCGGCTCAGATGAAATGGGGCATTTGTCAGCATCTTTTACATGCATAGGGTGCACAACTTGTGCTACCCGGTGGAGCACAAGTGGCCATGCTGTTCCAAACAAGGAGCAGAAAAGACTGATGCTTTGCGCACAGCCGAGAGGAGAATGTCAGCACGGAAGAAGCAACAGTAACCTAATTCAGGGGTCTTCTGAAGGCAGCCCACTGCAGTGTATTACCACAAAGTGTAAAGATCCCAACAAGTGAGTATCAAGGTCAGCACACAGATAAATTTGTGCACCTGCCTCCCTTCCAGAAGGAAATGGGGTATGTGCCAAAAGCTGAGGAAACCTTGGAAAGCCTTCTGTGAGCTATGTGGGGAAATACAAGCTTCCTCTTAGGAAGGAAAGTCCTTTCAAGAATGCGCTGGGCATAAAATAGATATTTCTGGGGGAACCTGAGAAAATCGTCTCTGTTGGGGGACACACGTGTGCCAACTTGCCCATTGGCTGCTTCTTCAGCAGCTGTGGGACACAGGCTGGGGAGATTCTGAGATCGCACAGCTTGCTGTGATTGAGAACAAAGCTAAATGCAGCTATTAAAAGCAGCTGCAGGGAGGCAAAGAAGCTGGTATCAGTCAGGATATGGTCAACATCAGGTTGGGGAGGGGATCTGGCTGGGGCCATGACATGGGGGCAGGATTAAACCTGCCCCTTCACTGTCCCAGGCCCAATCGAGTGTTCCCCTTCTGATTTTTTCTTTTACCAAGGGAGAAAGGGAAAAAATCCACAAAGGCAGATCTATTCATGCATTTTTCTGTAAATGATTGGTTCATGATCTGTAAATGATTGTTCTGCATGTTGACCTACCAGTAAGAATGGGTAACAGATGAAAATGGGGACAGTGGGGAAGCAGTTCCTATTCAACATGCAAAGTGTGCTCTCAGAAGCAGACCCAGATAGGTGCGAAGGGAAGAGACAGCAAGAGGCTTGTCTTTTCTCTTACGTATTATGTGAGGAGGAAATCCAGTAGTGGGAGAGGGGATTGTTCATGTCCTCCGGTCGCACAACGTCAAGCTCTGAGTTCCAGATGCTGTTCTCTTTGGAAAACAGGAAGGCAAGAAACTGCCCAGAGGAAAGAAACAAGGGGTGCGTCATACAAAACAGTAATACAAAGAATGGTTCCAATTCTTTTCATTTACCCAAAATATTTATATGCCACCAGGTTGGTACATATAGATCCACAAGGTAGAAATATGGATCAAAAATTAAACACAGAATAAAATGCTAGGATCAGAGCCATACAAACTAAGAAACCAATCCTAGGATGCTGGGACAGTATCTGGGAGGTGGTGGGAGGTGTGGGGGAAGGATAATTTGGATTTCCAGATGCAAGGTCAGAGAGAGAGCTCCAAACCCAGAGCTGGGAATCGGAGCTCCGTTTCCCAACCCTGCCTCTTGGCAACCAGCACAGAAAGATTTGTTCCAGCTGCCTTTCCAAGGTCAGGAAACTGACCCTGGAGATGGGAGTAAAGAGTATGGAGAGAGGAGGTGACTAAAAGCATCAGGATATTAGTTATCCTGATGGCACCCAAGCCTCCTTCCCCGTATCTCTGAGTGCCCTGAAAACATCCATCTAGCTAGACTGGAGCAGGGGCGCAGTGAGGTAGAGATTGCTGCCACCATTCCTTCTGCACGTGCATAAGTCTGTAAGTTTGGGTCCTTATGAGCATCAAGGGTACGATCAATAAAATGTACCCTAAAGCAACAAACCTTCTCCAAAACACTTGGGCAGGAATCATAACTGCACATACTAAAAAGTAATTTTATAATAAACCAAGCACAAATTCCTTCCTAATAAACTTCCACAGGACTGGGTTGCGCACCAAATTCTGCCCTTGCAGATCTGGTTGCTCTGGGGACTACTGTTTTATGGACTGCTTTACTGGATGCTCCTGGTGGTCCTGTTTATGTCTGCTGTTAGAATGTCATACTTTCGGGCAGAAGGGAGCTATGAGCTGTTTCAAAGAGTTCCTTTACTAGAAAAGTTGCAAATCAGTATTTGATTTAAAAGGAAATAAGCAATAAACCCACAGGACAACAAAGTGATAGGAGTCACTATGGCAATCCCATAATGTCTACCTAGAAATAAGTCCCACTGTATTCAAAGGGCCTTACGCTTACGTAGGTGTGCATCAGGTTGCAGCCTTAAGGAACAATCCTATTGCAATGGAGACTGTAAAGACTTACAGCCATCCTGTGCACAGTGGGAGAAGCACTGGATGTAATCTTTGCCTCCCCATCCTCGTGCCTTGCATATTTCACTAGACAGTTTTTTCATCTAGCTGGCTGAACAGTGTTGAAAGGGGAGGGAAGGTAGCTAGATTAGGTTCAGGATAGCTGGCATCCTACCTCCTCCTGTCTTTTTCCTCCTCCCCCACTGAAATCCCCCCTTTCCCCCTCTCCAAGGTCAAGTTCCTCACTTTGAAGGGCCGCAACACAAGCTGAGTGCAAGGGTGAAAGGAACTGGATCTCTGATAAAGGGTTGTTTTCAACCCTGTAATCTGAACTATTTCCCTCCATGTTTTAAACAACAAAAGCACTGAGCTATCTTCACCTACTAAACAACAGACACATTATCTCCTTTATTTCCAACAGCTAAATGCTTGGCAGAAGTAGAAACAACCACAAAACCCCACTGAATCTCCTATACTGCATTGCAGGGCCGCTTACTGCAGAGGGGGGCAGAAAAGGCAGCTACCCCCTGACCTGATTGTTCCTGGGCCACTTTTGTAGTAATAAGGGAACAGGGCAGCCCCAGCTGAGGTACCAGTGGTCTTCATGAGGAGCAACAAAATGTCAAGAGGAGGGAGAGAAACAGGTCTTCAGAGGTCCAAGCATGCCAGGGCATCTGTCTATATAACAGTCCCTTTCACTTTGTTCAGGATTCTGGGAGCCTTACCTCATCCAGGGAAAAATAGGGTTCTTCAATTTCCCGCAGTGGGTCCTTCAAGAAGTTGAATATAAAATCTTGAACCAAGGCTAGGTTAGTAGCCCAGTGTTCCTGAAGATAAAGGAGAGCAAGAACCAGTCTTTGAGAGGCCATATCCTTCTGGTATTTCCAAGCATGAAGGTCATTAAAATGCTCAGACTATTTTGCAAGCATGTTCTCAACCAACCTGATACAGAAATTAGCTTAACACAGGAAACAACTCAGGTATGGAAATGCCCTAAATGGTTTTTCACATGCCCTAAAACCCCATGAATTCTGTTCACAGAGCAATGAAAAGGTATGGTGGAGAGAGCTTGCTTATTTTGAATGTTGAATATATAGCTCTCTCCTGATCCACAAAGACAGGCTGCTTTTTTCATTTAATCTTTTATTTACTTTCTTGTCATTTCTTTTTAGTAGCATACTGGTCTCATTCCTCCAATATTGGCAGGATGAAATGGAAATTGTACCACTTAGCGAATTTCTTATGGCATGTTGGAAGCAAGAAATGCTCACCTGGGATCGCTGCAGGCTGACAGTTCAGTGCAACACTAACCGCTCAAGACAAATAAAAAGATGATTTCTAGTTTGCCTACTGCACTGGCCAGTCTAAATTGAATGTGTGTTACTGCAATACTATGGAGAGAGGTGTGCACCAGGATATATAGATTCTAGGCTGTGAAAAGAATTTTAGAAGATCTAATCCAAAGCCATTCTGTAGGCTCCATAGTAGAACCATAAATGCTAACTAGATTCCAGCATATTGAATTGAGCCCCCAAACTCATTTGTGGATAGTCTAACCACGACAATATGGGCTGCTTCTTATCTTGTCCCCTTGACCCAGTCAGGCAATGAACAATGTCCTTCTGCACCAGCTGTAGTTCCTAACTGTTTCCAAGGACATCCAGGTGTCCAGTGCATGATGACAGCTGATCCAAAAAGCTACAAATGCATGTGTGATTGTGCTCATACCATTAACGTCAAGGAGATGATGCAATCATACACAGGGCTGATGGGGTGGCCCCATAACAGTTCTCCTTGAAACTTATCTCTCTCAAAGCACAAGGCCACTCCGCTAGCATCGTTCCCATCTTTTCTGAATTCAGGTCCAGCTTTTTATCCTTCATCTACACAATTTCAGCCTCCTACTGTACTTGCTCAAGAAGCAAGGGCAGCTCCCATGTGTTTAGCTAAAAGAAATATGTAGGGCAGCATGGGGTGCGCACATTTGAGGCCCATCACACAAGCATTGCTGCTGCTGCTTTGATGTTGTCTGTCTGTGACTGGTAAGAGTCCTGTGGAATAAGACAGTGCTAACCCTGCTAGTCTGATTGCTACAGAGTCAGTAAGATCCCAACTCTTTCTTAGCAAGAAGCCCTGTTTTTCAGAGCAGCCAGATTTGGCAATTGCCTAAGAGGGATTAAATGGTGTGAGATGCATCTAAAGACCACCCAACTGTGTCCCTTCCATTCCCTACTCCTCTTCTATCATGGGAACTCACCATTTGATATTCTAGCAAAAACATCTGGAATTCCGTCAGGGATACTCTGTTTTGGTCGGATCTCTCCCCACCACTGGAGGAGGAAGCACAGACAAGACATGTTGGTCAGAGGACATAGCACTGCAGAACAGATGGCCACTACTGGATACCAGCCAAACACTGAGACAGTCTCTAAGGTGAGATGCACTGCTGAGTGGAACTACAGCAGTCTTTCCCATACAGCTCTAGTTGACCAGGCTGGATGGATGGTGGGATTGCAATCAAACCCATACGGAGGACACCTGGTTTTGAAGCCAAACTAGAGATCCAGCTATCCATATGATAGCTATATCCCCCCTTTCTGCCCACTACCAGGGGAATTCTAAGACAAAGGAATCAGAAGATGAAATGAGGATGCTAATAGGGATTAAGAGGTGTACACATGTATAACAATGGCTCATTACCAGACAGGTGGTCATCCCATCAGGTACCGCACCGTCAGACATACCTCTGAACAGCAAACAGTTGGAAGACCCAAAATGCAAACTTGACTGAACTTTGCACCACAAACTCTACATTCTACAAAACCCCAAAATTCTGTGGTCACAAATAAAAATAAACAATTTAACTTGTATGAACTTTGCTGTTTTCTACCACATAGATTTCTGCACCATCTGGGAGCTGTTCTGACCATTCCTGGCTTAGAAATTCTATCACCAAACCTCTCTTTTAAGACCAAACCAACACTTTTATGACGATGTTACCCATTATAGGAGTACTGAGAAGCAACTAACAGGGTCCTTTTGAGTGAGCAAGCAAACTATACTCTAGCTAATCTCCATAATTAAATGCCAACGCTGACTCATAATTCCAGGGCCAGGTTAAACAGTCTTCATTCCCAACCCTCTCAAACCTCCCCACCAAAACAGGAAAGAGAGCAGTTTACCTTTCTAAGAATGGAACAGGCAACTGGAAAAGAAGAAATGCGCAGGTCAGCTAACCTTGAGGCCACAATTTACACGCCAATAAAGGCAGGCAACAGCTTTGCCAACGCCCTCAGTCTCTTCGAGGGCATCTTCCCACACACATGGACACAGCCTCATTCTTTCATTTCATATATGAGTCACCAGGTTCCCAAAGTTCTCACAGTGACATAAGAACAAATAAATTACAACCAATGCTAAAATACAGAAATGTAATTTTTCAGAAGCTTTATAAGAAGGAAGAATAATTTCAAACAAACAAACAAAGAACAAACCAAGCAGCTATAGCAGAAAAAATAAAAGCTCAAAAAGCAACAATAAACGTATTAAAAATAAAAGCAGTAATTACATGTGCTTTTAAAAACTCGGGAGAATAAAAAGGCCTTTCCTTTCTTTAACTGTATGAGGCAATGTAGGAAATACAAGATACAAGCCAATAGACAAATCATGTGTTGACACTCATCATTACATGATTCCTACCTGCCTTATCTGTAAGCTGGACTAACAATATTAACGGAAGACTGCCATATATCCTAATAGAATGAATACACTGACTAATTTGAGGGGTTTTCGATGCCAAGGTGGGAGAGCTTAAACAAATCTGAAAGGAAAGGGGGCAAGTAAGCTTGAGTCTCTTCCCTTTTTGAAGATATTGGCCTCCCCAGAGTCCTTTTTGGGGCAGTATCCAACAGCACTGCTCCACTTCCGCTGGTTCTGTTATATTCACAGGACCTCATTGCTTAGGTACTTCTAAAAATAACTGTAACAATCACCCAAAATGCTCATTTCAGCTGAGGACGGATCAGTGGTGCACTCTTCTGCAAGCCAACCTGTCCTATTCCAGAAACATTTTTTTCTGTTTGTATCAGGTTATTTTTTGGAGGTGCCGAAGTCCTGTTGCACAAGCAGTGGTTCTCACAAATGCATGGGTGCAAGAGCATACTACCCTCTATTTCCTGTCTTCCATACTCACATGCACTAACAAGCTGGGGAGAGAGAGTGCTGTTCATCTCCTTTTAGTTATCTTGTTTCAATCCCACATGGAGATGTTTTGTGAATGTGCTACTCACAGAAGCACTGAAGTTCACTTTCCAACCCCCCGCAAACCCAGTGTTGATTCTCTGTGTGTCATGCACAACAGCAACAAGAGCTGGAAAGTTAGAGCACTAGCAATGGCACCAAGGGCCATGTTGATCCTGGATTTTCTGAACAGGACTGCCTGTGAATAGTGCTAGAAGCTAGACTACAGAAGGAATGGCATCTCCTATTTGTAAGAATAGCTCCTTTACTAGGAAAGGATTCTAGTGCAGAAACGTGCTTTTGCATCCACATATGTTCTCTCACTTGATCAAAGCAATGGTTCCCCATGGAGGATTTAAAAAATTACCATATTAGATAAAGCAAAAAAGAACATACTGGGAAAGGGTGCAAGAAAAAAAGGAGGGGAACAGCATACTGATCCACCAGGATAAGATAAGAAGCATCTTACTCCTTTTTGTGCATTGTACATCAGGCTCTGGTACAACTGGGCAAATTGTCCATATGTGATATCCCCATTTCTCTGCTCCACATCCTAGATGTAAAGATTAGGGAGAAACTCGTATTAACAAATAACGTGTACTCTCAGCATGTATGGAAAATCAATTATTAGAGTGGTGGGGATATAAAGTTATCATTCTTTTAGGAGCCAAATTAACAGAGGTTTACTAAGTTTACTGAACATGTGTAAAAGAAAATAGGAGCACAACCTTATGCCTGTTTAGGACGATTGTTCTGTCTGTACATGCACACTAGTAAGCCCTAAGGGTGAACATAACTGTGATAATCACCCATTTTTGACAACTCAAATAGACCAAGCAGAATTCTGGCAACAGATGAAATGACAAGGATGGGGTGCCAACTGGGGAGACAAGATCTTCTTGCCCCTCTTTTGGGTACGGGCATGTGTGCTTTGCCAAAATTAACCAAGAACCAATATCTTAACTATTATGTTATGGTGTCACTCAGGAAAATAATTGCCAGGGGGCTGTACATGCAAAGTGGGGGAGGAGACCAAGAACTTACAGTGAGCTTCTCACGCAGAAACCTCATGTTAGGGACACGGTAGTTGACTTGAAATAGCATGTTTTTCAGATCCTTTGCAGAAATCCTAGATTATCCAGGGTGGAAGAAAGTAAAAAAAAAATGAGAGGGATTAGTATTTTATACATGGCTTACTCATAATTGTTCTTGAGGATGCTTGCACTATATTTGGAGTACAACAAAATACATAGGAAATACTAAGAATGTTCTAAAGTATATACAGGATTCCTCCATGTCCCTGATATTTCAGCTGCTAGTCTGCAACTGAATTTCTGGGAATGACCTTGGCCCAGAAATGGCTGCTAAAGCAACCAGAGGTAAGTCCCTCACAGGATGGAACAGCCTTGCTCAGACAGTGCTGCTACTGTTTCCCCCAGCTTCTGAATCTGGTCCTGGGTGCAAGAGACAAAACAGGAGCACCTTCTTTCCAGTTCCCAATGTTCAAACTGCCACCCAGGACTGGGTTTTTCAACCCCTGCTGAGTTTTCCCTTTAAACCCTTAAACACCACCTGTAACATCCAAAAGAAGGCAATACAATGACCAGAAGGATATAAAACAAAGCAGCTAATGGTCTTTGGATAATAAGAGAACATCAAGTATTTCCAACATTATGAACCTTAAGAAAGCCTACTAAACTCAGCACTTCTACAGGATACTACTTGGAAGGAAAGACTTTTATAATTCTAGTGGGTCTTTTCTGAGGAACAAACTAAAATGATTTCAGAAGACTATTTTCCCCTCCAAACAGCTTGAAGAAAGAGGTCTGTTTGCTTTGCCAGAACCTCTTGGAAAGTTTTCAGAAATTATTTCAGAAATAGTTACCCTTCAAGAAACAGCAGGCAAAACAAAATACAATACAATAATATCTCATAATACAACAATACTGTATTGTGGTTACTTCTAAAACTGGGGTTTCCTCCACAGAAATGAGAACCATTTTTGTATAATCTATTTTTTTGCTATTAGAAAAAGTACTTGTGAGCATTGTTTCAAACAACTAGTCAACATTTACATGTATCTGTTGGAGCCCATAATTTCTAAACTGTGTTGAAGGAAACTTTGGGGTTCTATGGAAGTTTTTCCCGAGTAAGAAGCTCATTAGGGTAAGCAACCATCCCTGAAATATAGCCTATCATTCATCACTAACTCTGTTACACTTCAAAGTCACAGGACAATGTTGCGTGTGCTCTAGCTTGCACATCTATGCATCGTGCAAGGCAGTGGTAAGGCCAAGCAGACCTACCCAGTGTCCTACACACACAAGTGGCTGCTAAAGATCCCAAGCAGCTTTTGAACTTGATACTTCCACAGATGAGTGCCTTTGTATCCCTTACTGAAGAGCTCTTCATATATTAAAGGGACCAGTTCTATGCACTTTTAGAGAGAGTAATATGCTACAACTCCCAGCATCCCCCACCATTTGTAAAACTACTTTTTCTCTAAACATGCACAGAACTATACCCCATGACACTTAAAAGATTTAATTCTTTTTTAAAGATTCACATAGGAAAACAGCCACTAGTAAGAAATACAATAACTTTAAGACTTATCCTCAAAAATTTATCACTGCACACTGAATTGACAATGAATGATTCTCTCATCTCTATCCTTGTAGTTCAGGGAAAGGGGACTGAACAACACTGCAAGATCAACGATCAGGTGAAGGCTGTGGCTCAGTGCTTGATCACAAGCTTTCCATAAGGAAGGACCCACATTCAATCCGTGGTGTTTCCAGGTGAGGCTGGAAAAATGCTGCCTGAATCTCTGGAAAGCTGCTGTGCACCAGTGCCACCAACACTAGGCCAGATAGGCCAATGGGTCACCAAGGTGCAAGTGCTTTGCTATCCAGCAGGGAACTGTGCTTGTGGCCTTGGTCAACATCCTTCATGTGCTAATTGAAGAGAATTGTACTTTGTTGACTTGGCTAGATAATTCAGCAGCGTTTGATATCATTCACAATGAAGTTAAGCACAACAGGAGACTGTAGGCCTGTCTCAAGGTGACTCTGTGCCTACCCATCAAGAAAGGTGCTAACTGGTGCTAAAGGACAACTACTGATTCTTACCCAGGAGCTTTTAGGGATGCAGGGACATCAACTGAGTTAAAAGTTAAGAAAATGGATGCAGAGATAATCACTGGCCCAATTACCAAACCAGAACAGGTCCTCTTATCATTAATGGGGAGTGACATGTCCAGCTCACCGTTTAGGAGTAATGCTGGCAGTGGTTGTATATATTATAGTATTTACATTTACTGTACCACCTGAATTGATACACAGAATTTACTGAATTGGTACACAGAAATCAAACCAACTGTGCCTTTTGACATTCTAAAACGCACACACTTGTGAATTAGCTGTGATTTGCATTTGTCTAGGGATTCTCTCTTCCAGATTTCATGTCTTCCGTGGAGGGGAGAAACCTATGCCTAATGATTCATCACAATCTGTCACTCAAATGATGACTGATGAAACCCAAAAAAATCAGTTTCAGATGATGATTTGTTGGCAAAGAAATCATGTGCTCCTGGCAAACTAGAAATGATTGTCTTCTTGCCCCAAAGCGGAAAGATTGAAGAACTCCCTCCACAGCAGAGCAGGAAAGCGCTGGACTTAATCCAGTTACAAGATCCTCTCGCACTGAACTCCTGGGAGATGCTTGCTGCAGACAGACAACCTTGCAGTCTGAGGATTCACTCCAGTCATTAGGTCAGGAAATGGAACCCTCTAACTCCCCATTTATTACTTCCAGATCTCAGTGAGTGAGCAAAGAGTGTCTGCATTCCAGAAGGGGGAAGGGGAACAGAAAAAGGCCAATGGCCACTAATCAGTTTTCCACACTGTAACCATGAATCTTTTCCCTCTCCCTCCCTCCCTCCCTCACACACACACACACACACACAGGCAAAAACTGCAGTATGCATGGATTCCCCACCTCACTTCTTGAATACTTTGGCAACAAAATATTATATGAGCTTGTGAGAAGCCTTTTAGGGCTCCTTGCACAGCTGAACTGTTTCCAAGTGAAGTCAATTTCTGTATCAGGTTTACAGAGATAACTGCTGCTGAATTTTGCAGGGATCCACTCATCCCACATTCACACTGCCCTGCTTTGGCCACTGCACCTGAGTTTGACTATGTACATCTGATACATGTGGGAAGGGCAATTACTAACAGTGCTGCTGAGATAAGGGCAAAAGGCCACCTCATCTGGAATATTGTGTCCAGTTCTGGGTACCAGGATTTAAGAAAGATGCAGAAAAATTAGAAAAGGTCCAAATGAGGACAACAAAAATGATCCAGGGTTTGGAAACACTGCCCTATGAGGAGAGAGTGAGATAACTGGGAATGTTCAGTCTTGAAAAGAGAAGACTATGGGGAGACATGGTATCATTCTATAACTACATGAAAGGCTGTCACAAAGAGGAAGGTCAAGATCTCTTCTTGCTGATACCAGAGTGTAGGATATGGAATAATCAGTTCAAGTTGCGACAACCCAGATTCAGGCTAGACACCAGGAAAAGCTCCCTCACTGTCAGAGCAACATGACAGTGGAACCAGCTGCCCAGAGAGGTGGAGGGCTCTCCCACACTAGAAACTGGACAACCATCTGAGCGGGATGGTGTAACTTGGTGTCCTGCAACAGCAGGGGTTGGACCCAATGGCCTTCATGGCCCTTTCCAACTCTACTAGTCTATGATTCTATGATCTGTGAGTGTTGCATTCTTGATACAAGGCCCTCCTCCAGGTGCCTCCTCCAAGGGAGGCTCTGAAGGTGGCAACTCATGGAGAAGGAGAGGGCCTTCTCCATGGCAGTCCTCAGTTACAGAATGATCTTCCCACCTGATGGGAGCTGCCTGCTGCCAGCATTGTTGTCTTTTTAACACCTCCTTAGTCTCTGAGGGCTTTGGCTGCACAAGCAAACTTTTCATCAATTTTTTCTTGCTAATTGTTCAAAACTGTTTTAGCTGTATGTACATTGCATGCCTTTTTGTGTTTATATTGTATGGTATTTATAATGTATTTTAAAGGTTTTCATCTTTGTAAATCATCCAGAGAACCCTGGTTACTGGATGACACTGAAATTTACTAAATGAAATGGAAGGATACCAGCTGTCCACACTCACTCTCCTCAGCCTGGGATTTCCTAGGATCTGTATCCAGAGGAAACAATTGATGATTATTGTCCTAGGGCCTCCTCCAAAATTAATCTCATACTACGTAACTGGGTTGCAAATTTTGTTTCTAGTATTCCTGATTACAGCTGCCTGTTTGTAGGGATTGGGCCCATTTCTCTCAAAATGCAGAAGCAAGCGATTTCTCCCTAAAGTGGAAGATTTCAAAGTTGAGGAAGAGGACAGGTCAGAATGCTTAGCTGGAATACTAAGGTTAATAATTCCCAGGTAAGAGACTGGTTCTCTTACCTGGTAAGAACCAGAATACCATTGGTTTGGGGTTGGGGGAGACACCGTACAACAGGGGCAGTCAGAGAGGGAGGGGTGTAACCTCATCAGCCCAGTGGTTTGCCATGTCAAATGAGTGGACCACTTATTAATGTCCAGCAGTCCTGTCATCTAGCCCACAAGCAGTGCCAGTGTCCCTGAAGGGAACAGCTTAATGTGGAGAAAAAGAGAAGAAAGGAGTTCAGTATGGAATCAACTTCCTGCACTGCACAAGAACTAACTCAGCAATTAGAAGGATAATTAATTTGATAGATGCTTCTTGCTAATTCCTTTTATATTTGTCAGTCTGTATTACAAAGCTATCCTAAATAAAAGACTGTAGTGAGAATCATCTTGCCTTGATCTGCTGGAAAGGAAAAAAATAGAGAGAGAGAGATGTGCCCTTGACAATGTAAAAGTGAAAGGAGGATTCTCTCATGTTTTTGGCAGGATGACTGTCTTTTGAAACTGCGGGATCCAAATTCTCATTTCTTACCATTTGCAGTTCTACTTGAACTGGTATCTAGTGGTCCAATCTGTACTAGGGAGGAAGTACATGGTTGCTTGAGTTGTGCTAGATTAGAAATGAGTCGACTAAGAGGGCATTCTGCTGCCTGAGCCTAGACAGAAACAATAGAAAGAGGCTGTTCTCAGGAAAAAGACCCCTGGTCAGAAGCCAGAATTTTCTGTGAGGTGTGTGGGTGGTTAGGTGGGTTGATGAGGAATTGTCCCATTTGTTGTAAACTGACCTGAGAGCTTCCAAAATTAATTGATTAAAGCATAGAAAGGCATTTTATACTGGATCAAACTGTTATCAAGGCCAGCAGTGGGCAGTATATGGCCCTCTAAATGCTCTGGTTTACAACGTCCATCAGCCCTAGCCAGTGGAGCCAATGATGAGGCATCCTGGGAGTCAAAGGCCAGAAGGTCTGCAGGCCTACATGTTGCCAAATCCTGATCCAGACCAGTATTATTTACTCTCCAGGGTCTTAGGCGGAGGTCTTTTACATCATCTGCTCCCCAATTCTTTTAACCGAGTGAAACAAGGAACTGTACAAGGGTCCTTCTGCATGGCAAGCTGTTCTCCACCCACAGCCCAGCTAGACATCAAGTCACAATTAGTCTCATCTTCCAAATCTGTAAGACCTCTTTCAAAACAACATCCAGTTTGCTAGTGCAGATTTACAAAGTGGAATTTTCCATACAGGGCCAGCTAAATATGCATAAACTGCTGTTCAAATTTTGAGAGACTTACCATGGTAATCTAACCATTCATGCCTCTCATAGGGGAAAAAACAAAACAAAACAGTGTATTTATTCCTTGTATAACAAGGGCTCTTCTTTTTATAAGCATACTCCCCAGTTGCATCTTTGTTTCTTCCCCTCTCTGACTGGGGACAGTGGAAACAGAAAAACCCAGTTGCATTATTTTTAAAGACACATACAATTCAGAGTGAATGACAAAGACTCATTTAGAACACCAGGCTGGCTTATTATACCCACTGAGAGCACTTTACATTTCTCTGCTTTGCAAGCACTGCCATCCCTCGAGGCCTCTGAGAGGAGTATTCACAAAGCAGGTGGCAATAATCTCCTCAAGTCATGGCACAAGCTCATCAATATGCAAATCATGCAAAAATGGACCCCTCCCTCTCTTGACAGATGTTGCTCATTCTTTATATCCATGCTATGTTGATGTTGCAGGCTGCCTCTGTCCCAGCTCCTGGTCAAATAATGGATTGAGACAAGGCCACTTGCCAGGACAGGAAATTGAAAGGCTGATTGCACAAGGGAGAAAAGACACCAGAGAACAGCAGAGGTGCCGGGCAGCATTTGGCACTAGAAACACAGTTCAAGGACACTGCTGGTTTTATTTGTTCGCTGGGGGAAGAGAGAGGCAAAGGATTGCAGTTCTAGTACCAAGCATGGACACTGCCAGGCTCAACACACAATAGGACGACTGCACTTACTTACTTACTTATTTAAAACTTTTATATACTGTCCAGCTACTAGCATCCCAGAACAGGCTTTTGACCACAGTGCAAAACAACTCTGGTGTGGCATCTCCTGGCATACCAGGGTGGGGTGGAAGATGTTCTCCTCTCTAGAATTTCTCCTTTGGGGCACCTATTTTCAAACTTGCCCCAAGGCAGGGCCCTCAAACTGATTTGTCTGATAACCAACCATGTGCACTGCAAAAGTTTCTGGAGCACAGTTCAGAGAATGATATGCAACCTTTGGGAGCCTGTGAGTACAACTGGCTAGTTGAGAAACTGGCATGGGCACCACAACAAAATGGCTGCTATGACGAGTCAGAAGGGACAAGTATTCTGCCCAACCCACTCTATACAAGGTAGAGGTAAGGCCTGAACCACACCATGCTAGGTTTTCAGCACCTTCTTCTTCCCTTCTTTTTCGGGGTGGTGGGGAACGCTGCAGAGGAAGACATCAGATCTGAAGACAGCAGAGAACTCATTTTGCTTAGAAAGGATCCCAGCTGCCAGTAAGAAAATGTGTAGATTCTAGCATGAAGCAAGGTGTCTACCAGGACAGCTGGCTTCACTGTTTCCTGCGCAAGCTACGAGGACAACTTAGATCCAGACGACAAATCCCCACTGCGATTTCTCACTGTAGATGATCCATGATGGGGACAAAAGGCTAAATTTCATGTCAAAAGGAGGGACTGAAAAGCTTGTGTCCCTGACGGAGGTGTGAACACAGGCATTGCCAGCAAGATGCCATTTCTTTCCAGTTGGCTGAGATCTGCTGTATTCAGCCCTGTCAGTAATCTATGTACTATTCACTTAAATACATTCTGGCCTCCAGTCTCCCCACCCTCTCATTCTCTTGGCCTAAGGAAAACCCTGCAATAGCCCAGGATGCCTCAGGCATAATTTCTGGGATCTTCAGGTCAAGATGGAAGAATTCCTCCCTGAAACCCTAGAAAGTCAGTTCCAGTATCAACAATATTGAGTTGAATGGACCCATGGCTTGACTCAATCTAAGGCAACTTCCTGTGTTCCTGCTGGTGGTACCTTTGGGCTTCCATCCACTTTTGCATTCAGTGCCAATAGTTAAAACCTTTCTTTTCTCTATGGGGAAAAGCACTTAAAAAAAAGAAACGAAAGAAAATCAATACAGAAAGGTTAATGTACTCTCTTAACATCATTAAAGGAGACTCATGTCAGGAGGGAGAAAAGCCTAGAGGTAACAGGACACAGAGATGAAAGGACAGGTGGCAAAGGATACTGGCACAGATACCAAGAACAGACTTTTTAAAAAGAGAGCCTTTCATGCTTTCTCAGCAAATGCACAACACAAAGCCTTCTCCACTGGTGAAATATAAGCCTATATGCCAAGCGCATGTGCATTCAACAGATCTTACAGTAGGCAGTCATAAACAGTGGCTTATTAAATGGTAATGACAAGTTTGCCGTGAATTGGCGCTGCTGGGCCTGAAACTCAGGTCCATAAAATCAAAGAAGCAAAATGTTTCCTACCCAGCAATGTCGGGGTGCTTGCAAAACAGTAGAAACACCACCACCATCACAGTTCCTTCCAGAGAATGGAGAGTCCTCTGTTTGCAACTGTCTTTCAGTGAGGCCTTCCAACTAGCTAGGAAATCTAGAAATCTTTTGCCCTGAAACATCCATTTGATGTCCTCCTGCCTGCAACCCTCTTCTTCCTCTCCCACTTTCTTAAAACTACTTTATCTTGCTTGGCTTCAGCTACCCGCCTTTCTCTGTTTCCTTCCTTAATTCTGCTTCTATGGATAGCACTGCCCACCAACTCAACCTTCTGGGCAATTGGCAGTCAGCCAGTATTTGCAGCTGAATTTTAGGGTATATGCTTTTAAATTCCTTTGCAATCCTTAATTACCGCTGTCCTGCCTGCTCCCATGCTACACAATGACCATATTCACATGGCACGTTAAGCTGCCCTGCAAATAAGCTACACAGTAAATGGAGATAAACCGTTTATCTTCAACCATCACAAAATTTCCTTGAGACATGAGTTCAAGAGTTCTGCAGCCTTCCGAGTATCATTAGAAATGAGAGGCAGACCTGAGTGTCATCTACATATTTTTATTTATTTATTTATTTATATCCTTATATTTATATTGATCTACACTCCACCCCAAACCCCCAAATAACTTCCCCAAGCAATTCCATGCAGATATTGAAATGTACGGGGGTGAAGATGAGACCCTGAAGCACCTCTTGAGGCAATGGCTAAGAGTGCAACAAAAGAAAAGACCAAGACCTTTGCAGCAATGTGCCACCAATGCATAATTAGGAGAAATGATCCAGAAGGATATTATGGTGGATGGTATCACCACAGCAAGCTAGCAAGAGATCCAGAAAAAAAGGATCACATGTGTCCCAACCGTTCCCCAGCATAAATAATCTCTTAGTGCAAACAGATTGGTTTGTGCCCATTAAAACAAGGCCTGGGATGGATCCAAATGATCAGCATCATCCATCACTACTTCGAGCTGAGAAGTACCACCCACTCTTAAGAGTTTATAATTTGAAACTAGGCATAATTAGTGGGAGCCACTTAATCTAAACTAGATTTATTCAGGAGTGGCCATGCCATAGCTTTTTTCAAGCTGTGGTGTGGAGACCATTCCCCTTCCCTCAAGGGAACTTTGAACTTCCCTCCAAGGTTCAAATCCCCAGCCCAGCCCTGGGTGATTTCATGCATCAGGAGTGGCAAAGGTCCAGAGGAGAACTGCCGGCCCTTATTCCTCTAAGTATTTTGTCTATATCCTCAGGCAATACAAGCTGAAAGACAGACATAATAACCAGAGTACACCAAGGCAGGTTTACCACAATGTAAACAAAGGAAAGTTTTGCTCTATTTACCTGTCTTCTCTGTTGCGATCAACCGAGTAAAACTGCTTCCGAAGCCACCTAGAAGGAGATAGTTTTTGAAACTTAAGCCTGTCCTAGGCTGGGTGGCTGTTTCAAAGTTCAGGTTAATCAGAGTTCACTAAAGAATAACTACACACAGTTATATCCAAAGCATATTCATTGAACATGACTGGGGAAAGTAAAAGGACACTCAGCATGCTTTTCCTCCCACATTTTGATTTCAGTGGCATTGTAAAAGATTGGAATCTGATGTTGTTGATCAGCAATCTACTTAAAGTTCTGTTCAAACTCCAAAACCCAAAATGCCAACCTGGAAAGACTGTGAACCAAGATGGACAAATTTTTAGGAAAATAAATTCTGCAGCTGCAAGTAAGCCATGAAAAACAAATTTTCCTACAGGCTAAGTTGAGAATACACATATTTACCTAAGGAGAAAGTGCTTAGTCAGTGATGGAGATAAAAAAGAGACTATGTTGTATATATTGGCTTCAGGAAGTCAAATCTACTTTACCTTATATGGAAATGTATGTGAATTTAATATTTACATAAATGAATGCAGTATCATCATCTAATATAAAATTAAGAATCAACTTTAAAGGGAAGTAAAGCTGTAGTCCTTCACTTACCTGGGAGTAAATCCCATTGATTCAACTGGGACCTAGTTCTGAGTAGATATGCATAAAGTTGCACTGTAATAGGAGCCAAATCTGAATCCTCTGATAAAGGAATAGCTACCATGTAGTCCTCCAGTAGTTTTGGTTGACATTTTCCCTCAGCCTCACCCAGCAGAGCCGATGGTGAGGGCTGGTAAGAATTGTAAGCCAGAACATCTGGGGACCTCAGATTGCTCCTTCTGCTCTAAAAGGTAAGAAATAAAACTTAGTCTGTGTGTTTATGTTGTGCCATTGTTCCCCTTCTTGATCTGCCATGTGGCAACCTTGCCATCAATCAATCCAAGTCCAGAATCTTTCACTCTCATAACCACAATAATCCTGCGAATTATGCAATCATGCAGAAATTTGATTTATCTTCATCAAACCAAATGGATCTTCTTGAAATATATTCTGCACTGGTAATGAAGGAGAAGAAATGAAACTGACACTGTACCCAACCTGCCTGAGTCTTTTTTTTTTTCCTGTCCTCCCCGCCCCCCCACACACACCTTTTTTTTTTTTTTCCTTTGGTTACCTTTCAACCTGCAGTGGGGTGGCAGCCTTCAGGGTATCCTCCACCAGCCAGTTCAATCCTTTGATCCACATGTTGACTTCATCTTCGGATGTGGCTGTGAAAATAAATAACAAATTGGACTTGTCATGATAGGAGGCAGGCAATGACCCCTGATTCCAAGGAGGAAGTCCCGTCACAGCTAATTTCCAACAGGAGGAAGTTCATCCCATTGAGCCTGACACTTATAAATTATAGCAGAGTACTGTAAGAAAAGCCATTAAGGGAGAATAATCCCAATTCATGACTGAAGCCTTTTACCTTTTCTAAATAAACAAGAAGCTTATTTTTCCTGTTGTGTGACAGACTTTAAATAATTACTTGTCTGATCACCTGTGGCAGGTGAGAAACACCTCCATGCAGCTGGATAGGAAGTTTCTGTACACTGGAAGAAATGTGGTTCTGATCCAGCCACCCCTAATCATTCCTTTTGGGCAATGGATGCACATGGCAAGACATACTTATTATTGCTGCATACCAGCAGACAGGCAGTTTTTAAGAGCTAAAAACTATTTGCAAAGCTTGCTATGGACCAGGTCAAATGACCAGACTAGGATACTGAGAATGTAGATCAGGCAGTTCTGTGCAGCGTACGGCATATGGTGAAGTGATTGTCCAGTTCCTTCATGCCACTTCTAGCATTCACTCCATCAGCTGTGGGTGGATCTGTGGTCCTACAGTAGATGTGGCATGCACTGTAATCCAAGCATGTAACAAACTATGTAACCTAGTCGCTTAACTAAGGTGGCAAATTCTGCACAGACCTGCTATATTCTTGTCATGTGTAGGACTACCAGCATTAGGAACAGGTGAGGAGAAGGTAGGGAGGTGTTGGGAACAAAAAGTGGGACAGTCTAAAAAAGCAAGGAAACTTACGAAATAGGGAGAGGGAGGAGTATGCAGCCCTAGGATTACTATGCAAGTTACTTCGATTGCTCTTCTATTGATGACATTTCACAAGTAATCTTGTATCTTTCCTAAATCATGAATATACTTGTATTGCTTTCTTTCTATGCTATTCTCTAAGCATTTATACAATTTTCTAAACATTTGTTTTATTAAAATCCTGTGTCTGTGACTTTGACGGCAGTCATGTTTTACCCTCTGACCTGGGCGGGTTCCCACATCATATAAGCAGTTCCTGGGTTGTTAGCCCAAAGAACTCCAGTGATGAGAGCAGCATGCAAGCTACACACTCTTCATTTTTACTTTTAATTAACAACCCAGGAATACCCCATATCTGATTTCATGACTGTTTCATGATAGTCTAGACCTGGAAAATCTGAGTTGTTTACGGGTTAACCCATCAACAAACCATGGCCAATGGATGAATTAACTCTGGGATGATTAACCCATGAAAGGGCAGAGGCCAATCAGGATCTACTGGCAGACCTCTCGATGCAACAGATCTCCAAGGTCTCAGTCCCAATGTTTTAAATGAAAACAACTGACTGTGAAAGAGGGGCAATCTGCCATTGTGCTGATCATTTCTTTCTCAGTCTGACTGATTTCAGGCCAGACTGAAAGTTTTATTAACAATTCCTGTTCTCTGGTAATACACACATGGATTTGTATACATGCCAGTGAAAAGGTGGGGTAGATAATTAACTCTGTCCTCCTATGTCTGGCTGCTTGGTAGACTGCTGGATTCCAGTAACAAACAAAATAGATCTTGCAAGCCTCAAGGACGGCCACCTCTGGCCTAAGCCATGAACAGCCCCATTTCTGTATTTGCACATCGAAAAACAATTGTTTCCAGGTTTCTAATGAAAGGCAGAAACACCGAGCATTCAACTTGTGCTCTCTCATCTGTGACAACCAAAGAAATGTGACAATGGAAAAAGCTGGGATGTTATTTCATAAAGATTACAGCTGCATGTGTTACCCAGTTATTATTGATCCAGCAAATGATTAGTACTTTAATTAGTACATGGGGGAGGGGGATTTTAGTGATTTTTAATTCACACCAAAGGGCACTTTTCCATTTTCCGAGTCATACTTCAGCCATCCTCGACCTGGAGCCCTCCAGAGGAATTCAACCACAAACTCATTACCCCAGCCAGCATGAGTATGATGAGGGTTGTAGTCCAACACAGCCTGAAGACATCAGTCTGGGGAAGGCTCTGGTGTGTTTCTGCAACTCAGCTTTATGGGGTTCAGCACAGGCGTAGTCATAAAATCAATAGGCATTTACTAGGTTATTTGCTGCGAGAATCCCCTAGGGTAGCGAGGGGCCTCAGTTACATGTTGGCTGCTGTGAATGCTTTACTTCATCCTTGAGATAAGGAAATGTACACACCCTTCTGCTAGAGTTAACAGGGATTCTTCACTGTGTTAGTTTGTGCTTTGGCTTTCAGTCTGGGAGGAGGAGTACATTATTGTCCAAGCAATCAGTCTCCCAGGTGCAACATCTATCTTATTAGGAAGCCCCTGTGCCTTGAGGGACATGCATAAACTTTCTTTTTGCTTGTTTCTTGATTATCTGCACCCACATTCCAACTTTAGATTCAAGAAGCTGGTATCCTCTCTCAAACAAGTAGTTTGCCTTTTCCTGATCATTCTCAGATCTAAATTGAGGTAGCCTTGGCTGGATCAGGCTCCTAGGATAATACACATATATCAAAGAAGAAGCAACTTTTCACTGCCTAACCACATGCCACTGAGTGCAGTCTGAGGTAGCATCTCCACCATCTCCATGCAGGCAGGCAGGAGGAGGACTGGGTAATCAGGAGAAGATGGCTATTTATGAATGACCAAACAGTATTTGTGAAAATCTGGTGTAATTATTAAAATGGAAGAGGCCATAACTCAACAGCAGAGAGCATGCCTGGCATGCAGCAGGTCTCAGTAAGGCCTGGAGGCCTGTAAGAAATCCTGCTTGAAACCCCGGCGTGTTGCTGCCAGTCGGCAGGTGAGATAAACCCCATGGTCTGATCCAGTAGAGGGCAGCTTTTTACAAATGAAAAAGGAAGCATTATGGATGGCCTTTCCTCCCAGAAAGCAGTGGTTCCTGTTTGTTAAACTTGTAAGCTATCATATGGCTTTCAAAACCCATTTATGGTGAAGGCATGAACATATGAATTCATTCAAGCATTATTAAATTGAGATGGTTAATCAATGTGTATTTTTTTCAAACCCACAGCACAAGACTGCTTTAAAGCTTTTAGGTGCAATACATTATTATGGATTAATATTTAATCAACTAAAATGATTGTGAACCCCATTTTTAAATAGCAAAGAATCTATAGGAAACTTTTAACCTTATACCAGATCCACAATAGATTACTTGAGACAGTTACACAGTTTGCCTTGCCCATTTTGTTACTTGCTGAGTGCTAAATAGCCTGAACCCCAACCCACAATACAGCAGAGAGAAAGAACCAATGACAACCACAGAGCCAATCACAGAGCAGGCTCACAAAGCGGGACATGAACAAGCACCCGTGTGTTCGCAAGCGTCTTGCTCCCTGCAACAGCTCACAGTTCTAGCAGCAGCTGCTAGCACCCACGCACTCACTGTCACTGTCACCCGTTGTTCCTTCCTGCTGTCGTGAGACAGGCCATGCTGAAGGGTGTTGGTGGGAGCTCAAAGGGCTGTGAGACAAAGAGCATAATGGCAGTATGCCATATGATCTATCCACCCGATGAAACAGGAAGGAGGAAACCAGACCCCACCTTGCAGACTGAGTGTTTTCAGTCTAAATTCCATGCCAAAAAGTATAACAAAGCAGTGAGACTGTTCTGGCCGGAATGAAGGATCCTCTTGGTATCTGTCAAAATCTCTCGAATTTCTTCCGAGACGGATTTCTTGGATCTCACGAATGTCAACTGCAAAACAAGGAAAAGATTGACAGGAGTGAGGCAGAAGTCAGAGGTGCCTTGAGAAGCTACTAGGGTGCCTTGTGGTGGTACCAAGTTCAGTGACAGAACTTCTATAGCACACACTGATAAACACTGTATTAGCTAATGGTACAGAGGTCTACCTCTGGAACTGTGTGGTCTCCAAATATGCCTTCCTGTAAATTGCAATGTTAAGACACTGTAGTACTGCTTAACTTGTAAAATAAAAGGTCCCAGGACTTAAGCCTATCTAGAAGAAAGCTCTCTGCCTCTGACATTTCCAATCAGGTAATTACACTGAGAATGCATGCCTGTGGATCTCTTTCCTTCCCTAATGTTGTAAGTATCAAGAGAAAGGTGAGCTCATCCCAAGTTAGTTTCATCATCTATATGGATTTGAAGTGGGTAATGTGACCCTGCTCACATTTCCAAAGTGAATCCAATCTCCAACACACTAAATTATGCAAATACAAGACAGCATGCAAGCAAGCAAAAGTGCAGACAATTCAAGCAAAAGGCATGGTAAGTGCTGGCCAAAATGGAGAGGCTGGGAAAGACAGCCACAGTAACCTGTAATGCAGACACAACCTAACTTCAAAAGATCCCTCCCTGAACTTAAAAGTGTAGCCTAAGTCTTTTCTCCCTCTTTCAATATATTGTCAGTCCTTTGCTAGTTCCATGCCTTTATTCCAACCAATTCGATATTACTCAGTGGGTCTACTAGAGATCCAACAGAGGTCACTGTGGTGCGTTCCCAAACTGGTAGCAAAGGATGTATTCAAACAAACAAAGGAGGCAATGCTATAGACACTTTTTAAAGGGCTACTTGGGAGCAAATGGGCATGAATGAAACAGAAGAATACGCTCTCTTTAGGAATATAAAAGTGAAATTGGGGCTTGGTTTACTTAGTTAACATTTCCATTTTACAGTAACTCTAGTGCACTTTTCATATATTACTGGGATTAATGAAATAGTAAAAGTACTAGAATCAGGACTGATCATTCAAGTAATGACATGCAACATCCATGTTCTAGTCATTGCTAAAGGGTTCTACTTACAGCTACCTGGGATTATGTGCATTCACTTATACTTGGCGCAGAATCTGTGAGGTCAAATGCAATATGTCCCCACCCAAATTGATAGTGCTTTCTCAGATCCAGCAGGTAGAAAGGCTTGGAGGAGGTTGAAGGGTAGTGCAGAAACAGTGTCGGGGCAGGAAAGAAACAGCAACAGAAGGGGCCAGCACAACATCTTGTTCTGTTATGGAAGGGTTAGCCACCTTTTCCTTCCCAAAGAGGATTCCATGTCCTCTCAACATGCGACACCAACCCCAGCTTCTTCACCAACTGGAGCGAGGCCACAGACTGGAGAACCTTTCAGCTCTAAGGGCTCATGGAAGGGCTATCAGTTCCTTACAGGCTCACAGAATGTACTTAGTAAGGAACAGCCACATCTTGTTTTGAGCATAACTGAAAAAGAATGTGAAGACTGCTCAAGGCAACACAGTCTTTAGTGATCAAGATGTTGGCAATTAAAGCAGAAACATACAAAGGTTTAAAAAAAGACAGAGGAGAGACAATGTGTGCCATCCTCCCATTGTGGTGAAAGTTTACAAATATTCTTAAAAACCATCAAGCAGGTCAACATACTTCCTGGAAAATGATTCTGAAAACCCTCAGTGGAATCAATTAATGGCATTTGTGACTCAAAGTTTTCTGAGCAGCACAAGATAAATCCATTGAGGAGATGCAATGTAATATAGGCTACCTCTTACTATGACATGTGTTTTTTAATAAGCATATTTCAGCTGGCCAGTGTGTTCTGTTTGTTTTATTTTTAAATGTGCCTCTGGAAAAAAAAGGGAAGAAAGCAGCTCTGGAAAAGACAATACCAGAGACAGGAAATGAGCATCTTGAACCCTGAGCTCATCACACCGTTTTCTGCTCTGCAAAAAGAGCAGAAAAGAACAGAAGCAGCAGCAGTGACAGGGTTATCAAATTAGCATGATGCTGGGAAGATTTTACCTTTAAAGGCAGTCTGAAAGTATTTTAAATAAATACATAAATGTATGTTTTTAAAAAATCATTGTGGGTAGACCCAACATTTCTCCTGGTTTTTATGCACTCTCTTTTTAATAAGACCTTTCACTCCAGCCAATTTAGCTAGGCATCAGAATGGTTTGCCTCTAAAAGCACACAAAATGAATCATATGTAGAAAACAATGTTGGCATTATGCAAGTCATTCAGGCTGCTTGCCCCATGGAACTGTGTGAACCATAAGTGGATCCATGGGGATGTAAGTGCCCCAGCAGAATTCAACTCTTGCGTTCAGAACTGCAAATGCCAGAACAAAATACTTTTTACAAAACAGCTGAAAGTAAACAGATTGTGCCTCTGAAGGCGTATGTGTTAATGCATCATAGAAAAGACCAGACAAAGCTTTGCTGTTGAACCTAGCTTCAAGCTTACATTTCCTTGCCACATGAAGGTCACAGGTGATTCTAACCATGTATATCCACCAGCTGCCACATAAAATCCCTAGCAGATTGGACAGATTTGCCCTTAGGGTTAAACCCAAATGTTCAGCTTCTAAATATTGTGGGAGTGTGGAATGTGTACCCTTCCAGATGTTTTGGCCTACAACTCCCATCATCACTCACTGCTACCTAGGTGGACTAGGCATGTTGAGGTCTGTTGGCCAAAATAGTAGAAGGGTCATAAGTTGTTCACCACTGCAGTATGGAGGTACACAAATGAGCCAACAAAATAAATAACAAAAACTTCCCATATTCTGATTGCTTAGGTGAGTGCAAAGATACCATCACAAATAGCTTTTCCTCTGCCCATCCCATCCCTACCACCATTATAGCTTTAAAATGGAAGGTAGAGGCGATTTAGAAAGTTTTCCAGAAAATGTAATACCCAAAACAAAACGCTTCCTGTGGGGAACAACTAAGTGTGTAAATGTATACCTTTTCTAAAGCTCTCAATTAGAGATGGGTAAACTGCAGCAAGGTTGCAGAGGCTAAATACATTCTGAAATTCAGTTGAATGCAATCCCTGTGGCACTGTTAAGGGACCTCAAGGGTCGAGTACCTTTGGAGACCTTTGGTGAAAATCCAGAGGCCTCATAAAGGCTTCGTGCAATTGGAGCTGGAGAAGTGGTAGAAACAGTGCCAGGAAACACACAGCATGTGATACTCCTTTCTGATCCAACAGCTAAATGAAGCTGAAACTGCCAACTTGCTGTTCAGAAACCTGCCCTTCCCTCTTTGTTCTACTCTGTCCACTAGCTGCAAAGCAATCAACAAACGAAATTTTGTGTGTCCATGTGTTTACACATGTGGGGGCTACATTTGCACAGCCCCACGAGCACTCTGCTGAATCTGACCCATTCATGATTATTCTGGGAACGTTTACAACATAATTCAAGTATTACTAATGCATTCTTGGAAACACTACTTAACTAAAATAAATTCTAAAAGAATCAGATCTTTTGACTCCTAACAACGTCTTTTTTTGGGAGGGGAGCGGGGAGAAGACAAGGAGCAAAACTGTCTGAAGGACAGAAACAACAATATCATTTTAAACACTGTATGTTTGCAGTAAGTGCAAGCGAAGATACATTAAACATTTTACATTTACACTTTCACTGACTACTCAGACAGAATTTAGGCCATAGGTCCTACTATTTTCTATTTTGGAACACCAGTATATTAAAGCGAATGCACACGTGCGCACATGCTGCCACCACCCAAGTTTCCTTTATCAATCCACTCGTCCACATCTGTATAGCTAATTAAAATGTGCTTCCTCAATAAAATAGTTCCAATACAGAAGTCAGAGGATACAGGAAAAATGTGACTAATAAAACGCAGACTGCTTTTTTTGAAAAGGTGGAATCAGGAAGGGGAGATCATTGTGCAGTATTTATTTATTTATTTATTAAAACATTTTTATGCATTTGTATGCAATCCAGTAACAATCCATCTGCCTACCATGCAATGTTCTCAACACAACCACGTTGTCTTCCCTCTCTGTTACCTGTACCTAATGTTGCTGTATTATATATACATGGAAGAAGATCCTGTGCAATGGTATGGCGTTAGAAGAAACCATTTCCCTGTACCTTATACCAGCTGAAAATTTGAAACATTGCTTTGCTGCCACAGTTGTGGTTTGGGCTTCCTTTCCTGCCAGCAGCAGAAAAGGAGTTTCTGAGTAATAAACAAAGAAACTAAGTTGCATTTCAACTATGTAATCATGTCAATTACCTCTCTTCTTGTACACTAGGAGTTTTACCTACTGAACTCTACATAAGGGGAAATGGAAAATTATTTACCTTCAGGGTTATTCATATTCTCCACTGAGAATATTCAGGTTCCTAGGGTTGCTAAGTTGCAGCCCACAGAAGGGCTGTGTCCACCCCTGAAACCTAGCATTTGAGTAGGAGATGAGATAGCCACAACCACTGCCAACTTCCCAATTTGCAGCCATCCACCCTTCCATGAAGTACTGCAAATGTAGAATGGATGGCTGTTCTCTACTAAAGATAGCTTTCTGCTGTGAAGAAGGGAGGAAAAGCAGGCCCAGAACTGTGGTACTGATTTCCTTCCCTGGTCTGATTCACACATAAAGTCAAGTCATAGTTTGGGTCCTTGAAATAGGCTTGTTTTGTATCAGACAATAACCCACAAAGAAACCATGATTTGTTCACCAGTTATAAACGAAAAGTAGATCTTCTAGTTTACTGCTGGCTTATAATGTTTGGCTTGTTTAAATCATACCTTACCATGATCTCTGGTCCTAGAACCATGATTCAGTCCTGGCTTGTCCATTCTGAAACAAAGGTGCCCAGAAAGTTGTTGTTTATTACTATGCGTCATCAAGTTATCCCCAACTTATGGTAATCCTATGAATGAAAGCACTGCTCCACTCTTGCAAATTCAAGGCTGAGACTTCTTTTATGGAGTTGATTCATCTTATA